CAACCGGGACACTGGGCAAGAGTGAGGGCCTTACCTAGTGAGATAACACAGCCCAACCGGGACACTGGGCAAGAGTGAGGGCCTTACCTAGTGAGGACAACAGGGCCAAATTCTCCAGCATCACATCGCGGTACAGCAACCTCTGAGCCTCATCAAGGTGCCCCCACTCCTCCTGGGAGAAATATATGGCCACGTCCTCAAAGACCACACGGCCCTGCCAAATTGGGAGAGATGAATACATGAGTAGCTTCTTTTCAAGCTGTATTTACTTAAGTTCTCTATTTATTTTCTACTTATATTTACCACCCATTAAACACAGGGACAAACTAACAGCCAAATGTGTTTCCATCTCCCCTACCATCCTGGGCACATATTCTGAACCACCTCCGTCTCTAACTTTCTCAAACAAGCCAATATTTCCCATGTTCTAAATCAACCCAGGGACAGGTACTGCACAACTAGGGATAGTCCCAATAGCCCATGTGTCCTGGAATTACTAAAACTAGCCAAACTATCCTGACACCCAGCCCTGCCTTGTTTTCCTTGGAAACCCCAACAGCGTCTGCGGACTAAACTAAACTTTCCCCTCACTCCAATTTTCCTCCTAACCAAATATGGGGCCCCACCATGTGCCCCTGTGTTATGTGGTGTGCACCCTCCTTAGGGAAATGCAAGGAATACATATCTTCTTTCAGTGTCATTGGCCTGTCCCTGGCATCACTCACTCACATCCATAAATTAAAACCCTATGGGTGAAATGACTGCTACATTTCTCTCTCCAGGATCTCATCCCTCTCCCCTTTACCTCCATTCCTTGCTCAATCTCCTCCACACCCTCCCAGTGTGGAAGAGACACCACATCCAGGTGGCATGAGTGATTTTTCTCTCCCCATTTCCATTGGCCACCGTGTCCAGCACACAGAGAAACCACATGAAGGACAAGGTAGAAAAGTACCATCTAGAATGTGGGCCTCCCATGGGGGGATCCATCCTCTCCCGCCAGCCAGTTTCCATGGAGTCACCCAGATCTTGCCTCCCAAGACAACCAAACTCAGACTCATCCTCCTCCCTTGAGCTACCAGGGGCAGGGCCTGGGGCCTCCATTCACACTTCTCCTGCTTAAACATCAGTCTTTGGTCAGCACTCCAATCCCAGCTCTCACACCTCCACTCCTGTCAATTCCACAGACACCTCCCAGCCCACACCACAGGCATTTCCTTCACCTCCTAACAGGCCACTCTGCACACGGAAACCAGGTGGTGCATGGCAAATACGCTCAGCATCCAGTTCACTCCCAGGCCTGCCCCAGAACACCAAAGTCCCGTAGCACCGGGGGCAGCCCAAAGCCCTGCTTTGAAGGTTCCCTACATGCCCCTATTTCTCAGTTCACTGTCAGCAGCCCAAACCAACCATGTGACGGCTTCACATACTCTCAGCTGTGTCCTGCCTCATGGACACAGGATTGTAAGTTTCCTGAGGCCTCCCAGTTATGCTTCCTGTTAAGCCTAAAGAACTATGGGTCAGGCACAGTGGCTCATGCCTGTAATCCCAACACTTTGGGAGGCTGAGGAAGGTGGATCACGAGGTCAGGAGATCAAGACCATCTTGGCCAACATGGTGAAACCCTATCTCTACTAAAAATACAAAAATTAGCTGGGCGTAGTGGCGTGAGTCTGTCGTCCCAGCTACTCAGGAGGCTGAGGCAGAAGAATCACTTGAACCTGGGAGGCAGAGATTGCAGTGAGCTGAGATTATGCCATTGCTCTCCAGCCTGGGCCACATCTCAAAAATAAACAAACAACAGAAAAAGAACTGTGAGCCAATTAAATCTCTTTTCCTCATAAATTACCCAGTCTCAGGTAGTTCTTTGTAGCAATATGAAAATAGACTAATACAACTCCCATGCTCACCTCAATCCAACTGATGCTTAGCAACTCTCCAACCTCACCCTATTACCCCCTCATCAACCCCATCATGTCCACTCTCCTTCAGAAGCCTTTCTCACTCCTATACCCCACCATCTCACATACACTCATCCCCACAAACACTCCATTCCCTCATTTGTCTAGTGACTCCCCCCCACCACACACGTACCCAGTAAGAGACCCAGTTCTCATGCCCCATTCCAATTCTCTATCGTCAAACAGCACTGCCACCATAACCTAGAGATGCTGTCACCTAAACTGAATCCACGGCTTCATCCTGGTCCATATGACAGCCACTGTGGTGTGGATGTTTCCAACCTGAACTCCTCCACCAGGAATCTCTGAGACATCTGTGGCCTGAATAAACACTGACTCCTCATACTCACTCTGAAAATTCCTTCTACTGCTGACTTCTCCCATTTTAGCTGATGGAGTATCTATGCTTCCAAACAAAACCATGGGGCCACTCCTGATTCCCCTTCCATCCCACCTCCCTAGCTCCCTCACTCTCTACATCATAAAATGTGGGCAGCTCTAGTTAAAACTGAAGCTATGACCACTCTTGACAAGCCACCACCAACATCTACCTAGACTTCTGCAGGAGCACCCTCTCAGATCTCCCTGCCATTACCCGCACCTCCAGTCTGTCCTCTACTCAGAAGCCAAAGGAAGTCCCTTAAACTAGGGTCCTATCACTACCTCTTTTGCTTTAAATCTTCCCCACCTCCCACTTCCCTTAGAATAGAGACCCAGGACCTAGGCTGTCATTCCAGGCCTGATGTTCGTGTGTCTCTAGCCACCTCCCACTCTGCTCGCTATTCCTACCAGATGTAACAGACACTTGCAGTTCCCCAAAAATCCAGCTCAGTCTCTCCTCCAAACATTGAAACATTCTGAATCCTGTGCCCAGGAGGCCCTAACATATCTTATCAGATCAATTCTCAAAAACGGGGACCAGTCCATGTAACCCAGCATCCAACTTACAATACTGAAACTGGTGAAAGCACCCACTCTTCAGACGTAAGAGAAAGACAGGAAAAGAGGTTCTGGCACCTGCCAAAACCATCTGGGAGATAACTGGAGTGGGTGGACGGTAGGAAGCACTCTACTCACCTGTGTAGGGTCCGTTTCTGCCATCACTAGGGGACCCTGAGGGAAGAGAAAGGCCATGAGAAATGGACAGCCATGGAAGGATCCTACAAGCTGAGATGGACCGCCACCTCTTCTGCTCTGCCTGGGAGCAAACTGATCTCAATTCATCGCATAAAGTTCCTCAGGCCTCAGTGCTGCAGCTCTGTGACCATGGAAAAGAACTGAACCCACCTGAGCTTCAGTGTCCCCATCTGTAAATAGATTGTAAGAATAGCTGCCCCCTTACAAGGCTCATGTTAGTATCAAACATCAGTAGCATATACCATATATCAGCTGCTAGGGTCCACGAATTAATGCTTTTGTACATGTGTTCAATACAAATGAAATAGTGGGGTTTTGAAATTTTCATGTATGTTTTTAGCTTAAGATTTTAGAGGATGTGATATTAAATTTTCCCATGGAAAGCAAATGAGATCAATTAACATCAAACCAATTATGAACCACTTTTGGAAATTTAACTGAATAACTTCACTATTAACTGCCTACCTGTTTGCACACACTTAGAAAGATATTGTCTAATTAGGGTTTAAATCAGTATGTGTTTCGTACATTATTAAGTTAATGAGTTACAGAGAGGGGAAGAGAAGGCAGGTCAGGTACTGGTCCCTTCTGCAAACAGGTCTACCTGTTGCAGAATCTTCTAAAGTGAGCTTGCCAGGAGACCTTGGCTGGAGCAGCAGATCATCGCCTCTTGCCTTTACATGTAGAGAAGGGGAAAAAGCAGTGCTCTGGTCTGGAACCCAGCTACTCCACCAGCCTCAATAACATTTCTCTTGTTCAACAGAGAGTAGCCCTGAGGGTCAACCAAGCCTGCAGATGTAGAATCGAAACCACCTCACACCTCAGCCTCCATCCCAGGCTATCTGCTTACCCAGTCCAGGCCTCCCTTTTTACAGATACAATCCAGAATCCCTGTTAGGCCAGGTCTGTGCCTTTCTGAACAGAGTATGATGTCTGTGGAGCCACCAATGGTCTGGCCCCCAAGTCTCAGCCCTCTGCTCTCTCACCACAGAGCCCACCTGAAATGACAACCCCAAGGTTTCCCTCAAATTAAGTCCATCTGACTTCAAATTATACTACAAGTTGGTAGTAACCAAAATAGCATGGTAATGGTATAGAAATAGACACATAGGGAGTGTAGCTCAATGGTAAAGCATTTGACTGCAGAAATAAGACACATAGATCAGTGGAAGAGAATAAAGTTCCTAGAAATAAAGCCACATATCTACAGCCAACTGATCTTTGAGAAAGGCAACAAATACGTACACTAGGGAAAGGACACACTTTTCAATAAAAGGTGCTGGGAAAACTGGATTGCCAGATGAAGAAGAATGAATCTGGACCAATTACTCTTGCCATATACAAAAATCAACTCAAGATGAATTAAAGATTTAAATGTAGGACCTGAAACTAAAAATACGAAAAGAAAACCCAGGGAAACCCCTTCTGGACATGGTCTAGGCAAAAAATCCATGAATAAGACTTCAAAAGCACAAACAACATAAAGAAAAGTAGACAGATAGGACCTAATTAAACTAAATAGCTTCTGCATAGCAAAAAGACTAATCAACCAAGTGAATGCACAACCTGAAAAATGGGATAAAATATTTGCAAACTATGCATCTGACAGAGTATTAATATCCAGAATTTACAAAGAACTCAACAACAAACAAATAAAACAACAAAAAAAAAACCTCATTAACAGTAAGCATAGGACATTAATAGACATTTTTCAAAAAAAGACATATAAATGGCAAAGAGACATATAAAAAATGCTCAACATCATTAATCATCAGACAGATTCAAATTAAAACCACAGTATCTCCTTACACCAGTAAGAATGGCTATCATTAAAATGTCAAAAAATAACCGATGTTGCCCAGGATATGGAGAAAAGAAAAAGCTTATACACTGTTGGTGGGAATGTAAATAAGTACAACCTCAATGGAAAACAGTATGAAGATTTTTCAAATAACTGAAAATACAACTACCATTAAATCCACCAATCCCACTACTGGACATCTACCCAAAGGAAAAGAAATCATTATATAAAAAACATACATGTATTTTTATCACAGTACTATTCACAATAGCAAAGATAGGAAATTAACGTAACTGTCCATCAATGTATGACTGGGTAAAGAAAATGGGGCATATCGGCCAGGCGCGGTGGCTCAAGCCTGTAATCCCAGCACTTTGGGAGGCCGAGACGGGCGGATCACGAGGTCAGGAGATCGAGACCATCCTGGCTAACGTGGTGAAACCCCGTCTCTACTAAAAATACAAAAAATTAGCCGGGCGAGGTGGCGGGCGCCTGTAGTCCTGGTTACCCGGGAGGCTGAGGCAGGAGAATGGCGTGAACCCGGGAGGCGGAGCTTGCAGTGAGCCGAGATCGCGCCACTGCACTCCAGCCTGGGCGACAGAGGAAGACTCCGCCTGGAGGGGGAAGTCCCCTTCCTGGGGACTTCCTGGGGGGGAAGTCAAATACCAAATGTTCTCACTTATAAGTGGAGGCTGAATAATGGGTACACATGGACACAGAGTATGGAACGACAGACACTGGAGACTCCAAACAGGTAGAAGGATGAGACAAAGATGGGTGATGAGAAATTACTTAACGGATACAATGTACATAATTCAGGCGATGGATACATTAAAAGCCCAGACTTCACCACTATGCAATATATCCATGTAACAAAACTCCACTTGAGTCCTTAAATTTATGCAAACAAACAAACGAAAACCCCCGAGACCTTCCTACTCAATCTGATCCCCAGACCATGCTCCGGCCCAGTCCACGCCCTCCATCCCTCTGGTATGGCCAACCCAATCCCCTTCCCCAGACTCCACACCTTTATGTCCACCTGCCTGTGTGACATATCCATCTTGAGACATTTGAGAACCATCATGTCCAAAATCCAACCTGTGATCGTCTCCCGGAAATCTACTCTTTATACTGACTTCCCCAACTCCATTCTTTCCAACGTTTAAACAGAAAAAAAAAAAAAAAACACTTGAAACGGCTCTTCACTGCCTTTGTTCAGACATAACTGAAGCACCAGGAAAACCCACCGGCCCTATCCTTCAGGCCTATGAAGAATCTCATCACATCTCCCTCTCCTGTCACTGGTCCAGCCCCAACCACAATTCTCCTGGGTCTACTGCAGTGGCCTCAGGGCCTTTTCGCCGGTCTCCCTGTCTCCATCCATTCCTAGCCTGGTTTTCCTAACTTGAAACTTCGAACTCTGGACCTGCCCCCTCCAACTGTCCGTCCCTCGACAACCCTCCACGGTTACTGGCTGCTTAGGCTGCCATTCCCAGCGAGAATTCACAAAACGCTCTTTCCCGCACAAACCACACACCCCCCGGGCGCCTCCACACAGCGCACTCGGCCCTGAACCTGAGGTCCCCGAAGGGAGCTCTGAGGCTGCATCAAACCGGCTGATACGGGGACCCCACCCAGGAACGCCCCTCTCTTCGGGACAAGGGGCCTGACCGGCAGGGCCCCTTCTAGGGGCTTCAGCACGGGAGGCGGGGGAGCCTGCGACGGGGCACCCACCTCAGTCAGGTTCATCAGCAAGGCCTCCGCCAGCCCAGTCAGGGAAGAGCGGGGCGGGGGCGACAAAGGCAAGACAAGGACACCGCCGTCCCCAGCGCTTGTCAGTTGACTCACTCCCGCCTCTCCGCGGTGGGAACCCAGCCGCTTCTCGCGCTTTTCCGCTCCGTCACTTCGGTGACGTCAGAGAGCGCCATAGGCCGGACCTAGTGAAACACCGGAGAGAACCAGAACGACCACCGCCAGGACGACGGAAGTCCCGCCCCCCGACGGTGCGCGCGCACGCACGCAACAGTCACCTTCTAAACCTTTATTGGGTAAGTCGTGCCGCCGAGCGCTGCAGTGTCTTCTGGGTTATGAAGTTTCGACACCGCTTCCGGACTTGTCTTAGAGCGTGGATCAGTCCTTATATGGCAGATAAAGGCCCAGTGGCACTGTCAGGGGAGCTGGGAAACGGAGTCCCCGACTCCAGAGACAGGAGGGGGCTTGGCTTGCTCTTAAAGGCAACACACGGTATTTTTTTGTAGTGTAGTGTAGGATATTTACAGAAATGTTAGCAACTTATTATTTAAGACTCTGTTAAGCACAGCCAATTCCCAATGACTACACGTCCGAAGAGACACCCCATACCATAAAGGCACTCGGTCTCTACTCATGCCTGTCAGCCATATTGTTGCTTTTCAAATACACATACAGTTACGCTTTGGAGTCTGTTTAGTAAGCCTCAATATGTTTGGTCCAGAAGAAGGAAGACAGACTACACAGTTAGGGCTATGGACTGGAATTTGTAGGAAGGATGGCAGGAGGCACTGAAGTAGGTTGAAAGGGTGAAGCTATGCCTCTGGATCAAAGAGAGGACATCTTACCTGACTGTAGAGTCAGCGATTGTGTTCCTATGAAGGGTACAACGCTTTTATTCTAATAATACTTACTACTTCATATCTGATATACATTTTCCATTTATTTATTTATTTATTTATTTTTGAGATGGAGTCTCGCTCTGTCGCCCAGGCTGGAGTGCAGTGGCCGGATCTCGGCTCACTGCAAGCTCCGCCTCCTGGGTTCACGCCATTCTCCTGCTTCAGCCTCCCGAGTAGCTGGGACTACAGGCGCCCGCCATCTCGCCCGGCTAGTTTTTTGTATTTTTTAGTAGAGACGGGGTTTCACCGTGTTAGCCAGGATGGTCTCGATCTCCTGACCTCGTGATCCACCCGTCTCGGCCTCCCAAAGTGCTGGGATTACAGGCTTGAGCCACCACGCCCGGCCACATTTTCCATTTATTTTAAGAATCACAATCCTATCTGAAAATGAGAGTGATGACCAAAATGAGTGATTGAAGCATAAGTCAAAAATCATGGAGGTTTACTGGACCAGCCTAAAGGCACATCCAGAAAAATGTAAGTCACAGAAGCATCTGTGACTGATTTTTCCAAAGAGGTTCTTAGGAGTTTTAGTATTTATTATACATTTTCTTTAAAAAGGAAGAAGGGTTGGCAGTGAGACAAATGATTACAGACATGTGAAACTTTAGTTAGTGCCCAGTAAATCTACATTTTACATAAGATAGAGTAAACACGTGAGGGGAAAAGGGAATAGAGAAAGCAGATGTCTCAGAGAAGGATGAAGGAGTGAATAATTTCATCTTCTCTCTGTTCTGTACCTTGGAAGATAAGCTAGTAGTCTTCTGAAAAGGCTGATTTCTATTTAGCCTTAGGGAAGAAAACCTAATGATTGTAGTGAGGTAGGGGATATAATGAGGTGTGTCTGATTTCTCATTCCTCTATAGTGGTGAATTCAGCTTCCAAAGTTATTCTAGGGTTCTCATGGTCAAGAGGGCATCCATTCAGTTAGTTAGGGGGTGCTTAGAATTTTACTTTTATTTCTCAAGAGCAGCTGATACATGCCATTTCTGGACACGACATTGTCTACCATTTTCATAGTTGAAGCATATGCACATCTTATCCTCAAAAAAGGTGTGGAATTCCTTGATGTTATCTTCTTCCTCAGAAGTGATTTAAAATTTCACCTGTGTTTACAACCCTATTTGCACAGGGAGTTGAAATTATCTGTGAAAAACACTTATGAAATAAAAAAATTACTGAAATCTATTAGTAATTATGTAGGTTAGTCCAAAAGAGAAAAAAAACCATAAATAGCCCTAGAAAAATCCATCTGTGATGTGAGAAAAAGATAAGATCTCAATGATGTTTGAGTGAGAGACAGCAAATTCTGAGAAGTCAGAGAATGAAGTTGAGCCTGTGGCTGTGCTGGACACTTGGACACGCTATGCTTTTGTTTCCAAAATGTAATTTTTTTACATACTTGAAAACATTGCTCATTGACTGCTTAGAGGGGTAAGTACAGATGATAAAGTGAAAGACTTGCCACATGATAAAAATGAATAGAGAAGCTGTGTGATGATGTGTATTTACTTATCTAGTAAATGTTCAATGAGCACATATGTACTGGGTTTCAGATCAATGACAGGTGCATGGGACACACTGGGAATAGGTTTCCCAGCTGCTATGTGTATACAGAACTGTTCTGTAGATTCCATATTTGTCTATTTGATATTCATTAATCACAGGGTCAAACTAATAGAACCAAAGTTGTTTACTTTTTTTCTTGCAAGCCACTTACTAAAGTGCATGAAACTCATATAAAACCCCCCAACCACAAACACTAAAATGTGTTTTTCCTTCCTGCCCATTGATGATATCTCTACATCATTCTCTGCCACTTTAGTTATAAAGACATAGTTCCAGTTACTCTCTTTTCTCTTTCTGCTTTCTGGTCTCTGTATGTAACAAGGTTTCTTGTGGCCTGTGTGGTGTGCGGTGCCTCTTATTTCCAGGGCAACTGTAACATTAATCTTTATTTTTGATGGCAGTGAACTGTGTTATTGCTAATTATGAATTAAGACCTGGACACAGTTTAAGAACATGACCTGGCTGGGTGTGGCGGCTCACGCCCCTAATCTCAACTAGTTCCAAAGAAAGAGACAAAATCACTATTTTGTTAAATTCAGATGGAGATGGTAGGATAATTATAATAGAGTTTGTAATGTTTTCTACACTGTTTATCATCATGAGTCTTTAGGCTCAGAATGCTACTGTTGAGTGTGTTTCTCATTAATGAATGTCCAATAGATAAAGGAATGAAATAAGTTGAATATGACGAATGATGAAGGTTTATCACAACATAAATGGCATCTGGACTGTAACTGCAGGAATTCTGTGAGCAAATTCTATAAAACAAGGCATTGTTAAGTACAGGCAAATTATCAGGGAAAGAGTTATGTCATTAGAACTGTGGTCCCCAAACTTTTTGGTACCAGGGACCGGTTTTGTGGAAGACAATTTTTCCACGGATAAGGGAGAGGGGTGTGGGGGCAGATGGTTTCAGAGGCATTAGATTCTCATAAGGAGCATACAACCTAGATCCCTCTCATGGGCAGTTCACAATAGGGTTTGCACTCCTATAAGAATCTAATGCTGCGGCCGATCTGACAGGAGGCGGAGATCAGGCAGCAATGCTCACTCGTCTGCCATTCACCTCCTGCTATGTGGCCCCATTCCTAACAGGCCATAGTACTCATCTGTGGCCCCAGGGTTGGGAACTCCTAATTTAGAATGTATTTCAGATAAACAACAAATAATTTTATGATGAATATGTCACATACAATATTTATCTTTTATCTCACTGCATAGGGAATTAGAAATAATTCAAATTTAACCAGGTCAAGTATCAGTTACAAAATTTGACAACTCTTTTCATCGTAATTTGTTTCTGAACCTATGGATTATATTGAGCATCCTCATTTTTGAACTTAATAACTCATTCACAGAATTTCTGCTACCTTTCTTCTTTTTTTATTTCTTTTTTTTTTTTTTTTTTTGAGACGGAATCTTGCTCTGTCACCCAGGCTGGAGTGCAACGGCGTGATCTCAGCTCACTGCAACCTCCGCCTCCCAGGTTCAAGTGATTCTCCTGCCTCAGCCTCCTGAGTAGCTGAGATTATAGATGCCTGCCACCACGCCCAGCTAAAATATATATATATATATATATATATTTTTTTTTTTCGTCCTGTTGACCAGGCTGGAGTGCAATGGCGTGATCTCAGCTCACTCCAACCTCCACTTCCTGGGGTAAAGCGATTCTCCTGTCTCAGCCTCCTGAGTAGCTGGGATTACAGGCATGCACCACCACGCCCAGCTAATTTTTTGTATCTTTAGTAGAGATAGGGTTTCCCCATGTTGGCCAGGCTGGTCTTGAACTCCTGACCTTGTGATCTGCCTGCCTCGGCCTCCCAAAGTGCTGGGATTAGAGGCGTGCGCCACAGCGCCTGGCCACTTCTTCTTAACTGTAAATTCTGCTGGTTGGGGGCCCTTTGTTCCAAGGAAGGAGAGGTTCCACCAGAAGTAAGTATTATTTCCATTTGATTGGAGGGTGATACAGCTACTTGTTCATCTGGGGATCCTTGTGTCACTTAAGCAAAAAGGGATTGGTTTTGTGCTTTGGATGAGTTAAGCTTAGTTGCTGCCATGGAATGAGAAGCACAGAGAGCTATGTCTGAAACAAGGGGATTGCTGGGGGATGTTTTGGTAAGTTCATGTTCAGAAATAAAACTAGCAGCTCATCGAAGGGAGAACTTCTAAGAATCAGAAGTTTAGGTTTTGATATCTGGGGACATCCTCCAGGTTAAAAACCAAACAAAACCAAAACTCTACCCAGCTGAAGATCTGGCAGAGGCAGAGGAATGGGATGGTGCTGGGAGAGGGGAAGAGAATGAAAATTAAATCAGTTTTCAACCTAAGACCAGTTAAGAAAACAAGAAATCTCAATATTATAGATATCTTCCTTGTTTACATGTAAGAAATTGACTATAGAAATCAACAATGGCCAAGCCAAATATAAAACAGAACTCTAACCCACTCCTGCACTGACCAGCTCAGGAAGCCAACTTATTATCTACACTAACCAGATGAGGAAATATCTCCCTCTCAAGAGTTTTAAGAGGACAGATTTCTCCCAGGTCTAAAATTCTGCCTTCTTTTGTAGTGCATTACCTGACATCATTGGTTCTGGGGTTACCAGAGATTACTTTGTCCTGGGAAAGAACTTGACCTTGGTGTGCATGATGGCTGTCACAAGCAAGAGCTGCAGTGTCAGAGGCAGCTGGTGGCAGTTGTTTACAGGAACCTACTCATTTCTTGCATGTTTAGATATAAAAGGCATGGTCTAAACACTTAGAAAAATGTCT